AATAACGAAGTTGAAGGCTCTGTATAACAAAATATTTTTGTACGTGGTCTAAAAGAACAAAATATGATCATATTACTATGTCCTTCCAGTTCTGCAAACTACCATAGCTCTGCTGAATACTATTGTGCCAAGTAATTGCAGATAAGATTCAGAGAACCAGTTCTCAGTTTCTCCAACAAGTCACCGAAAACCATAACATGATTATTACAAATACAGGAAAGAACAATACTCATGCTTATAAAAGAGAAAATGTATGAATAAAAGACCAGGCCAGATTATGAAGACAGTGAAATGACTCTTTATGATAACTTAATGGTGAGTACACATTGTTATACATTTGTCCAAACCTACAGAATGTACAACAAACACCAAGAGTGAACCCTTATGTAAATTATGGACTTTTGCTGATAATGAGGTATCAATGGTTCATCAATTGTAATAAACACCCCACTCTGGTGCCAAATGTTGATGGTGAGGGTGGCTATGCATGGATGGCAGGGGGTAGAAAGAATATGGAACTCTACTCTCTGCTGAATTTTGTTGTCAACCTAAAACTTCTAAAAAAAAAAAAAAGTCTTTAAAAGAAAAAGACTAGCCCAGAGGTCACATGACTGAGGCTGGGAGACCCATAGAGGTCCACAGACAGCATCTTGGTCCACAGACAACACAGAAACAGAGAATGAGTAAACCAAACTCCACAGGTCTACCCTGCTATGTTCCAGTCATTTGTTCCATTATGCCAAAATAATCACAGAATATTTGCAATCCTCTGCTCCTCGTACTCCTCATGCTGTTTGCACAGAGCTACTTTTAAAAACATATTATAAGTGTGTCTAACTTATTTCATTTACTTATTTTTTAATTAATTTATTTATTTTTGTAGAAATAGTGTCTCACTCTATTGCCCAGACTCAGTGGGTTGGTGCCATCATAGCTCACTGTAGTCTGAAACTTGAGCTCAAGCGATCCTCCCACCTCAGCCTCTCAAAGTGCTAGGATTACGGGCAAGAGCCACCACATCTGGGGGTAGGGTGTCTATTTTAAAAGGAAATATTCACAAAGTAATGAGTTAGTAAAATCCATTATTGAACAGTTTAGTTGCAAAATTAATAGTTACTGATGTTCAAGCTACAAAACTGTTCTATAATATTTCCTTTTTTGCAGTAAAATTCAGCATTGCAAGCAGTAATTTTAGCACTTATAAAAAGTATTCAAAGCTGTGTGATGGGTACATGAAGAATCATTAAAATTATTATCTACTTCTGTATCTGTTTGAAATTCTCTTTGATATAAAGGTTTTCTTTAAAAAACTCCTCAGTAAAATCTGCTTAATGTAACAGCAACTCTACATAACATAACTTGATTGCTTTGCTATCAAACTGTTATTATAGTCATAGAAAAATATTCTGTATTCTATAACACCATCATCGGAAAACATAGCATAGTATTTAAGGATTGGAGTTCAGAAATCAGACTGCCAAGCTGCATTCCACATACTTTACTTCTTAGCTGTTATAACCTTGGAAATGTTATTTTGCTTAAGCTCCAATTTCCCCACCCAGAAAGGGAATAACATCACCATAAAGCCGTTATGAGAATCAAGTGGCATAAAATGTGTGTAAAGTCACAGCGCAATGTCTGGCTCATAATAGGTGTTCAATAAATATAAGCTACTATTAATATTGCAAGGTTCTCATAGATATAATTCCTCTAAAATTAAAAGAAGCAGTGAAGCCAATAAAGAGTTCTAATCTACAGATGGGGAACAAGTGCAGAGAGTCACAATTCAGAAATTAAAAAACATTTCCCCATTCTAGGGTATTCCTAAATTATTCCTAATTATTGTGAAGGAATATATGTATACAAATATACATAATACATATATTCCTTCATATCAGAATACATTTATTAGAATATCTTCTAAGTTAGAATATATTTATTAAATTAGAATTTAGAATTTATGAAGAATTTACAAAAATAAAAGAAATTGCAAAATCCTAGCATAGTCTTTTAACACTAAATAATCCAAAGAAAGTTTGCCATTGACTTAATCAATCAGTTGTCAAGTCTGCTTTGGCTTTTCTTATCAGGCCTTCTGCTGGCACCTCCTCTGTGGCCTGTCTCACGCTTAGCCAGAGATATGTAAGTTATCTGGATTCTCTCACAGTTTTCCCTGCAGGGATACATGGAGAACTTTAGCAAGGCCCTCCATGGCTATCTCATTTCCTAGATCTCCCTGTTAAATTTCAGGCTTGTCTACCAGTCCATTGTTTGCCACGACCAGGACTATAACTTCACACTATCCAAACAGCTAGTCTTTTCCTTTCATTTGCCACAAAGGTTGCTATTTCTACTGACAACACCAGTGGATGTAAGGTTTTTCCACACTGTGCTCTAAATCAAATGACCCCCCTTTGGCAGGGAAGCTGCTGGTTTTCATGTTCAGCAGTGCCCTCATAAACTTCTCAATAGATCCAAGATGGATCTATTGAGAAGTTTATGAGGTGGGGTACAGGGGACAGAGATGGGAGTGGGGTACAGGGGACAGGGATGGGAGAAGTCCCAGAAAACAATGCCATAGACTCCCCTGCTCCTATTAACCTACATTCAGCATTTTTTCTGTGAATAATTGCTTCTCAATTTGTTGTATGCCTTTGGTGAATTTCAAGAGCCCTGAAATGGTTGTTTTTGACAATATTGTCAAGTTTTATTATTGTATAATATTTTATCAGAAAAAAATGAAAACATACAATGTTTTAACACAAAGGTAAATAGTAAGACATGTTCTAAATCGTCGAACTGGTAGCCATTATTATTAGTGTTTGGTTTTGTAGACAACAATTATGTGTCAAATAAAATGTTCATCCAATCTCAATGCAATATTGGCCCTTGTCTATATAGTGTTTTTATGAGGTGTTACATTATCTAATGTTTAAATTATTCAAGTTCCTTAAAATGTAAGGATTCCAAAAGTTGGTACTAAACAATAATTCATAATTTAAAAACTCCTATATCTCAAAAACGTGTCTTTTCTAACAGACCATTAGTACTATTGTTTTTAAAAAAGCAGGATTCTAGACACATGTTATTAGGAGGAATGTATGATGATTGGATAAAATTAAATATCTCTGTGAACATAATTATAAGGAACCAGGTTGAGACTTGAAAAATAAATATATTTGACTGCAGAATCCAGAGTTATAAAAAATATCTGTACTCTGCTGGAGATGCTCTCTTTAGACAAAATTGTCAAAAAGGAACTTCACCGGGATTAAGTGCAAGCCTGTGTGTGCACATTCAGGGTGCACTAAACTGTAGTTCAGCCAATCCTTTTATTTTCCAATCCATTGTTCACCCTGATCACAGTCCAAGTAATCACAAGATCAACCCATAACATAATTAAAGCAACCTAAATTAATGGATCATCTATACCCAATCTCATTCATTTTGAACATGACATAATTACAACTTACAGCTTTCTCTTTGTATTAGAGTAGGTAGCTGTTAGAACTTAAGCACAATTAGCTGAAAGGAACTAGAAGATGCAATAAGTGTGATAGTATGTTATGAACTGCTTCCATGTAATTTTCTGATTTTTGAATGAATAACATAATTTAAATGAATGTGTTCACATAATGATCGGCCAACAATTTGGATGGTCTTAATAAAGTGACAACCTGCAAGAAAAGGCAAAAGAGGTTTTACAACTCCTCACTGCTTTGGAAGGAAGTCTAGAAAGCTACCAAAATTGCAATAACTTCACGGGAACCAAAAAAAAAAAAAAAAGTAATGATTTTTCAGTCTGAAATTGCACCCTACATTCTCAATATAGCAAAATTGGTGTTTAAAAGTGTTTTCTTTTTTTTTCAAATAAACATATTGCAAGTTTCAAAATGAGCGAACAGAAAGATGCAGAGCAATGGAGAAAATATTCTTTCATGAAGAAAATCCAGCACATTACAATGACGCCCTCTGCTGTGATTTTTGATACTACACCAAATAGCGTCATTTCCAATAGTGTCTCATTGTCTTTGCAGTGCCAATACTTCCAGAAAGCTTTGAGGAAAAAATGACTTCAATCCTTCTATAAAGTTAGTCATCTCCAGGATCTTTTAAAAATTGAAGTGACTGATTTTGGGTAATGTTATTCTGAACACAGTGTTTGAGCCACATAAACCTCAGTAAATCCCTTAGTGACAGCATTATTTATTTAAGAACATATTTTCATTTATCTTGTATTCTATTTAATAGTTCCAAAAGGAGATGGTATTCATGCCAATGGTTTCCATAACAATAATTGCCCACTCAAGTCTATAGCCAAAAAAAATTTGTTTTTACTTAGAAATTTTGCGTCTCAAAAGACCATTCTACTAAAGTGTCTCCGTTTCCCAGGAAAAGATATCAAGAAGCCCAGAAAATTAACCCCAAAACTCATATGAGACTAAAACCAATGCCATTTGAATATCATTTCTTAATTGCCAAAAGCCGATGTGGGTTTATACGGAAGTGAATAAAGCCTATTTTGCAGGATACCTTCTAAGTAAGTGTTAGGAGCAGACAGGAGTATTTCAGGTGGGAAGGAGAAGTCAGATTGCAATGTGGAAACATTTCTATGTAAGCATTTCTGGTCAATTGCATCAAGATAGCTTAAGGGATAGAAAAGAGACTTGAACCTCTAACACCAAGTAAATTGTAATGATTTATTTTCCTAAGTTAAATCTTTCATGCCTGTTTCATTTTTTTGTCCTTTCTCTTAAAGAGGGCCACACACACAAAAAATGTATGAAGTTCAGGACCGACAAAATCTGAATTGGCTGTTAGACAGTACAATACTACCCAGTACAATCCTGCCCAGAATATGTTATTTTACTTTTCCTGGGGTCATCTTATATTAATAGAAATTATTTTAGTGGCAATTTTGAAACCAAGGCTAAATCATAGCTTTAAAATGCATTGGCAAAATACTTTATATAATTAAGGGAAAGAAGGAGAACTAATACCTGCCCAACAGTGAAGCCATCCAGCATTCAGTAGCCTCTGGCTGTTGATATCTACGTAGGGTTTAAAAATACTGGCTTTGGAGTCAGGCAATCCTGGATTTCCATTCTGAATCCATCATTCCACATCTGTGCCACCTTTGGTGAGTCACTCAAGCCCTGCAAATAGGAGGCATTCAATAACTATTTGTTGAACAAATGAATAAATAATGCATCAACCCCACACACTATCCAGAAAACTTTATCAAACATAGTAGTTCAATTTCCCTATATTTTAAAAACTATTTGTTGCATATCTCTTAGGGAAAAATTTTTAACAAAAGGGTAGGAGGGGATGCAAGAGTTTAAGCAAAGTGTTGTTTGGGTTCAAAGAGTACCTATATTTGGTTGAAGAGATTGGGAAAGGTTTCATGGAGCAAACAACACTTAAGGAAAAGCCATGAAAGATTATTAGAATTAGATCTGGGTGATGGGGAAGATAAGCAGGCTGGAAGCATTTCAGGCTGAGGAAACAACACCATAAGCCAAGATCCAAAGATGAAAAAACGCAGGGAGTATGTGTTCAGGAAACAGTCAGCAGCCCCACTGGCTTGTGGTAAGAGAATTCATGGGAGACTGGACTGGAAGCTGTTCAGGGTCATATCACCACTTCAGTTACTGATTCTCCCCATTTTAGAGATGCTCACAACTTCCCTGTAAGTGAAGGTTCACCCAGCCACCATTATAAGTTACACTTGACTTTCTTTACAGACAGTGCCTTTATTTAACTAGTACAAAGAAGTATAGGACTTAGCAAACAATTAAAAAACTATAATTAAACTATTCTAGTTCCAGTGTTGAAAGGGGATTTTTTTTTTTTTAATTTCAAGTTTTTGTCAAAGTATGGGTTATCTGTAACTTTTTTGATTACTGACTTCTCTCACATAGAGATCATTTGAATTTCAAGGTTTATGTTGAAGCCACTGATTGGAAGTCTGAAAGGGAAGGAAGCATAATGGGCACTGGGTTAACAACATAAATTTTGCTCTTGGTCATCAGAAGGGAAAATGTTCTCCAGGCAAATTTCAACAAAGTTGGATAAGTAAATGAAAGAAATGCCATTCTAGTTGATACAATATAAAAAGCAACTGCCTTGGGTCAAACTTCAGTTTCAAGTTGTCCTCTGACATTTGTCTGTAGTGTGGTCTTGGGCAATGCATCTAACCTCTTTATGCCTTGATTTCCACGTGTATAAAATGAGAAGTACAATCATAATAATAAAACTTGTCAGCAGTATATTGTATTACTATCCACCTGCGGGAGGAGTATGTATTTTCACTCCACTGTCTTTGGACCCGGCCACGTTTTGTCCCGTGGAATGTGACATTTGTCACTCCTTTTATTATGAGAACAGCATTCTCCTAAGACGGTTCCTCTTTCAGCCTACATTCTAGAACAAAGAGGACACGGGAAGCAGAGATGCAGCTCATCCACAGCGTACATAAAACCTAAATTATAAATAAACTTTGTCATTGTAAGCCACTAAGCTTTGTGGGTTGTTCCTGCTGCAAAGCCAAGTAATATACTGTGCTACCCATCTCACATATTTGTCTTAAGTGGAGTTTTAAAATGTTTTAAAGCAGTTCATAATGTTCTATGCTCATCTATGTCTCAAACCAGTTCCTTCTCTCACCATAGATTGTTACAGAAAAGTTAGGAACAGCACTATGTGAGACAGTAAGTGGGAATACCTACTTTCAAAGCTGCACCTCCCTCTCCTGCCCTTCTGCCATTGGCCCCCAAATTTGTTGCTACTGCCCCATTAGGATTAACAGATTTTTTTAGATTAAAAAGTCTAAAAAAGATAGACTTTTTCTGCTAGTGCTGGTTCCACTTCTTCTGAGAAAATGCTCAGAACGGCCCGCATCTGTTTCTTCTTCATATTTTGGTTAAATTTTACTTGAATCCTTCATTTAGTCAGTTTTGCCAGAACTTCTCTGTGGAATCCTATTTGAACTCAAAGCATTCTATGAAAAAACTTCAAAAGGATCGCTTTAAAAAAAAAAAAAAAAAACTTCAATTTAACGAGCAGTAAGTGACTCAACTAAACTCAACAAAGAAGCAACCACTGAGATCGCAGAGAAGAAGCCCAAGGTGGTACCCCGACTCGCATTAAACCAGAGAGAGACGATGGCTAGGGAAGTAGGCGGGACAATGATTGGGGCTGAAAACAAGAAATCTTTGTTATAAAAGCCTCCCACTTCTACACGGTTAAGTTTAAGGAAGCTGAGCTTCGACTTACATAAGCCTAGGCAGTTTTGAATTCCAGCTCGCCCATACTCTCCTGCAACCTTAGGCCCCTTACCTGAGACTCTGCCTTTCTTACCCAACAACTCAGGGAAAATAACAGCTACCTTACAAGACGACCACGTCCGTGAGAAACAGAATAAGATGAGTGGAACACCTAACAGAGGACTCAGACAATAACAGCTTCTCCAAAAATTCTCGACTTGTGGTTGGTTCAGGCGGAGGAACAAGATGGCGGCGCCCGCGGCGTGACCGGGCCCTCGGGCCTGCAGCCGTTGGCAGCGGTGGCGGCGGTTTCGCAGCCCCAGCTCGCCGCGCCCCGTTTCTCGGCCTGCGACGTCGCTGCGACAGCCGCCCAGAAAGCCTGGTGGCAAAACCTGACAATCGCGAGAAGCCCTCACGAACTGCCACCTGGTGGAAATCCGGCTGCGCTGCGGGGATCAGGCTGACACCAAGCTGACTCCAGGCCGTTTCCTGACGCCCTCACCGTCAGCCTTGCGCGCCTGAGAGCCCGGGAGGCCAGCCTCCATCTTTGCCCCTCAGGAAGATGAACAACAGCGGCTCCAAGGTCGAACTCATTGTGGGAGGGAAATACAAACTGGTGAGGAAGATCGGGTCTGGCTCCTTCGGAGACGTTTATCTGGGAATCACCACCACCAACGGCGAGGAAGTGGCAGTGAAGCTGGAATCTCAGAAGGCCAAGCACCCCCAGTTGCTGTATGAGAGCAAACTCTACACGATTCTTCAAGGTGGGATTGGCATCCCCCACATGCACTGGTATGGTCAGGAAAAAGACAGCAATGTGCTAGTCATGGATCTTCTGGGACCCAGCCTCGAAGACCTCTTTAATTTCTGTTCCAGAAGGTTCACCATGAAAACTGTACTTATGTTAGCCGACCAGATGATCAGTAGAATTGAATACGTGCATACGAAGAATTTTCTACACCGAGACATTAAACCAGATAACTTTCTGATGGGTACTGGGCGTCACTGTAATAAGTTGTTCCTTATTGATTTTGGTTTGGCCAAAAAGTACAGAGACAGCAGGACCAGGCAACACATACCGTACAGAGAAGATAAACACCTCATTGGCACTGTCCGATATGCCAGCATCAACACACATCTTGGCATTGAGCAGAGCCGGCGAGATGACATGGAATCCTTAGGCTACGTTTTCATGTATTTTAATAGAACCAACCTGCCGTGGCAAGGACTAAAGGCTATGACAAAGAAACAAAAATATGAAAAGATTAGTGAGAAGAAGATGTCCACCCCTGTTGAAGTTTTATGTAAGGGATTTCCTGCGGAATTTGCCATGTACTTGAATTACTGTCGTGGGCTGCGCTTTGAGGAAGTCCCAGATTACATGTATCTGAAGCAGCTCTTCCGCATTCTTTTCAGGACCCTGAACCACCAGTATGACTACACATTTGATTGGACGATGTTAAAGCAGAAAGCAGCACAGCAGGCAGCCTCTTCCAGTGGGCAGGGTCAGCAGGCCCAAACCCAGACAGGCAAGCAAATGGAAAAAAAGAATAATGTGAAAGATAACTAAGCATGAATGAGGAACGGAAGAAGCAGAGCAGATGATTCAAGCAGCGTTTGATTCTTCCCACTCTAGAAATTGTAGTTCATATGTACACTAGCTAGTGGCTGTGGACAACCATTTACTTGGTGTAAAAAACTTTATTTCTATATAAACTGACTCTTGGGAGTGTTGGTGATGCTGTATCCCAAGGTGTAGCTGCTGTAATTGTGAATATTAACTGAGGTAGTGAAACGGTGTCTGGTTTTCTGTTGCATTTATTCAAGTAGAAAAGTTAAATGGTGCGCACACATGAATTGGTGAAGATGTTGTGCATATGCCAATTTTTTGTTAAAACCTTTTATTTTGAGCTAGACTACTCTCAGATCTCACTGAAGAACAGTCTTCAGCCACAGCTGCAAAAGTTGTAAATGCTTACAATTGAGCATTCTTAGGGTTTCTCCATCCCTGGGGTTTGCAAATTGCTAACTTAAAAAGCATTCTTAAAATGGCTGGCTTCTTGTTTGCAAACCAAATGATCTGGTAACAACCAAAAATTCCAGTTTTGAGTATAGGAAAGATTCTGCCTGATTACCTGTGAAGACGTAAGAAAAACTTAGTAACTACCAGATTATCTTTAGAATTCCACATTATCATGTTCTCTGTATTTAAAAAATAAAAAACAACAGCAACCATATTTGTCACAGAAATTTAGTTAACAGCTTACAACTGAACGTGCATGTATGTTGGTTAGATAAATGTAATCACTGTAAACACCAATATGATCTGGGATTTTGTTCATATTTTGAAATGGGAGTTTTTATGTTTACAAGTTCATTAAAAACTAGAAACTGTTTCTGTAAGGAAATGATACTGTTTTAAACAACAATCAAAAAAATGCCTTGCTGACTTACTAGGAAATAAAAATCTCCCCAATTTTTCGATAGTCAACTTCAAGCCATTTGTTACATGATATTCCTGTGCAAGTAAATTTTGTTTCATGATATAACTTTTTTCAATGTTTTTATTTTAAAATAATTTTTTTTGTATGAAGGAGAAAGGCATTCTTTCATTTTTTCTTTTTCTAATGACTTGTGGTACAATATCTAGTACTGCAAACACCAGAACTTGGTATTCTTACTTCTTCCACTGACTAATAGCTGGGCTAATTTCAAATAAGAATGCAAGCTTTGAAGAGTTTGACTACAAAGCATTCTTTAAAATACTTGTGTAATGGCTATAAGCAGTTGACTTTTCCCCTTGGAGAGCACACTGTGTGAGGTTGTGTGACCACTGACCCTTCCTCACCCCCATCTACTTCTCTAAACTATCTGTGTGTGCGTGCTCT